GTTTCAACATCTCTTACGGATCGACTCAAAACATTTTGGTTGATGTTTTGGGTATGAAGCGTAACAATAAAAAACATGAATCTTTTGCAAAAACGACGTCCAGTAGAAGTCGAAAAAGCGAGTTTTGTAAACGTAGTTGAGGACTCTACATTCATCAAACGCTTCATTATTGGTGACGAGACGCGGATTTATGAATATAACGTCGAAACTATCCAACAAACAAGCGAATAACGCTACAACAAGAATTGGATGAAGGCACTGAAGGCCATCCCAACCGAGGCTTATAACAATGTGTATGCAAAAGTGGGTTAATCGTTGGCATGCTTGTATTGGTGCAGAAGTCAATTTTGAAGGCGATATTACTATTAAACTTGTATTAAATACGTGAAAATTAAGTGGTTTGTCAGTTCGGGTAAAATTTGATGAGATGGTGTTATCTAAAATTCTAATGATGAAACATGAGAAAAATACTTTTAATTTTCAAAAATTCTTTAAGAAATTTTTTGATAGCTTAAAGCGTTTGAAAGCTTGAAGCTTTCACTTCAAAGCACTGTTATACTAGGAAATAATAAATCTTCCTAAACTTTTTATTGTATTGTAAAATATATTAAAGTTCTGTGAAATACTTTTCCTTGTCCAGCTAACACCAATGTCAACTAGGCTTGAAGTACTACGCCTGTCAAACAAAAGCAAGTTACTGTAAGCGCAAACAAAATATACATGTGTATACACAGACAAGTAGTTACAAGTTTGTGGCAACACTCAGGCATCATAAGTATGACTGAAGTGTACAGCAAAGTGCATTCAAGTGCAGCACAGCCGATAGGCAATGCATTTCCATACCGACGCAACACACACATACAACTAAACAAAGCCCTCAATATACATGCACACATACAAACATACTTCAGCGCATTTTGTAACTGGAATAACGATCGTTATTTCGTTTTGTTTTCAAAAATATTTATTGGTTGTGGGCGTAGGCTTCCTAATTGAATTAGTATGCCACAAGTTACTTAGTTGTTTGATAGCCTTAGACTTCTCCGTCGTCTCAGTGACTAGCAATAAAACAACAAAGCACTCAAATCTAGCGAGTCAACGAGCTAGTCAAATATCACATGCACGCATACAAAAACAGCAATAGTTAGCCCAGTCGTATAAGTGCGATACACCTCAACGACATGCGAAAAAGCAGTGCTCTTGCCGGGCTCGTGTAGAAGCCAAGCTGGCGAGGGATCACAAACTCGTTCGTACGTCAGAATATTTGCCATGTTGTAGCGCGTGGGTGTTGTTGCATGTTCTTTACATTCACAATACCACACGTTTTTTTTATTAGCATATTTTTTTTTTTTTTTAATTTTGCATTTTTGTTGTTGTTTTGCGATATGCATGGCGCGTCTGTTATGAGATCGCTTTGTTTAGCCAGTCTAGGTAAATAGACAAGCTGGCTAGCTGGCTGGGCTGCAACAGTAGACAAGGCAGTATGATATGTCAGGGTAGTGTTGCAGAATAACTCCCCCTTGTTGTAATGAAGTTTTCCATTTCCATAGGGCGCGAGTGAATTTGTAAATTTTGAGCGAGCTACACTGCGAAAAATAATTTTTGCTTGAAGAAATTTGGAATATTAAAGTTTTTAATAAGGTTGGGGGTAAATTGAAGCATGAAGTATTGAAGTTGGAAAGGATTGTATAAAAAAAACAAAAAAACAAAATTAAAATAATGTTACCACCTGTATTAAAAAAATTAAAAAAATTAAATATTTAAAAATATATTTTTTTTAGAATTTTTTAGTGGTGTCCAAATCCGTGAAAAGAAATTAAAGCGCAATTTTTAGTTAAAATAATATTTAATGGAGTTGCCAACAGATTTTAATTAGACTTGCTTTGAAAATAAACCGATAGTTGATACTAGAATACACAAAGTGTGTGCAAAAATTTTAAAATTTTCGCAGGCTTTAATAGGACGTATGCGGGAACAGTGTTGCCAGACTAATTCATTTTCTATATTTATAAATACTAATCTGAATAGATGGACTGTGATAGTAGAATAATTGTTATTCAAGAAAATTATTAGAGATATAGAAATTTTTTGCGTTGCCACCTGACTGAAAAATAGTGAATTTATTTGATTTTATCTTAAAATAAATTTAACGAAAACAATAATTAAATGCTGAATCAGAAAAAATTACGTTTAAATTGAATATGAGATATTGGAATATTTTCTAAAAAAAAAGGGTTTAAAAAATAGCAAACAAATAATAATTGAAACAATGTTTTGAGACATTTTCATTTGTAAGCGCCCTGCTTAATTTTTGTGAGTGTGCTTGTTGTCTGCTTTCTCTTCAAATATATTTGCATTTCTTTACAAACTGCTTAATTTGCATGTTAACCGCATAACCTCGGGCGAAAACTTGACTGAGCAGGCCTTAAATAATAAAAATAAAAGTTTCTTAGACTCTAGCTGCTTTACGGTAACTCTGAAATACATGCAGCTTACATAATACATATATACATAAGAAACATATATATATTGTATATATATATATATATATATACAAGAAACGTAGAGTTGACAGCTGTCAATAGTGACAGTATGAGTGCAGCAGATAATACTAAGAAATAATAAGAAACCGAAATTCGCGTTATAAGAAACAGTTAAGTATTTAGAGGTGCTTAAAGCGCTTAAAGTTTAACCGTTACATATACATATATATAATATAACTGTATACAACCCGAGCTGACACATAAAAACATACTCTCGTACTCTGGCATCTTCCTTTAATACCGCCACATTGACAAAGACAAGCTAATTAGCCGCCGACAATCGCGAAGAAGGCGCCTGCAGCGCGCAGGGGACAACTGAAAAATTGCCGAAATCAATAATTTGTTATTTTTTGTGAAAGTTTGCGCAGCAACTCCCATTGCACTGAGTCATTAAATGCATCGCCGCCAGGCGGTGAAGGGTTAATATGCAACTGCAAGCGCCAAAAGGGGTCCAAAACACACAACAATATGGACAAAAAGCAAAAAAGCAAAAAACAACCCAAAAGCAAATAGTTACAAAAAATTAATTTATGAGTGCATAAAGGGTGTAACTGCAGCTCCTTGGCTGTCCACTCATCAACTCGGCTACTGCGGTAGCTGTGGCGCTACAGTTTCAGTGTTTCAGTAAATTATCGCGCGCGCTTGTTGTTGCCACGCTGGTCGTTCGTTTGTTTGTGTTGGTGGTCACTTTCCAAACGTCAGTCAGTTGGTCGGTCAGCCAGCTAGCCAGCTGTCCTCCTGAACTATTTATTTTATTTATAGCTTTTATTTGGTTGTGAATAAAGCAATAAAGAAAGCTAGCTACTGTAGACGTCGAGCGCCTTCCATAAATATTTTTTTTTTTAACCGCCCAGAAAAGGAATTTCTAGTAATATGAAACTTTTGTCCGATCGATTCGACACTTACTGTTTAGTCGAATGCGATGTTGAATTGCTTACTCGTTGCTTGGCTTTGCTGGCTTTTGTGTTATTTGGTTAAAGTAGTTGCAGTTGTTGTTGTTCTTGTTGTTACTGTTGCAGTATTGTTTTATTGCTTCTTGTGGCAGTAATTAAAACCGCCCTCTTGGTTAAGCGAAAGCGGAAGTCGTTTATTGATTGTTTTTTGCGCTCGCATGCGTAGGGCGGACAAATTTATATGCGCGAACTCACATATACACACACAGGCATACCTATCCACCGTACTAGTCACATACAAATGTTGCTGTTACAATTTTATTATTTATTTTTGTTTAGTGTACTAAATTTTTTTCTATGCGCTTCTCCTGCGCTCCATATTTATTAACCATTGCTCGGTCAAACAAAATTTAGTTTAAGATTTGCATTGGCGACCGGGACATTGGCCTTCAAGCGGGCGTGTCTGCTGCACTGCTAACACTTGGCTTTTGTTTACCTTGATTTAATTGTTTCGTAAACATTTTATACTTAGACGCTTCACATAATTTTCGACACACACATACACTTGTATGTACTCATACACTGGCATATTAGTATTGTCCCAATGAATGTTTATTGTGCAGAGTTAGTTGGAAGTCTGTAGCTAGAAAATCGATAGCACATAAATTTAGTTTGATATTTGTTAGGCAGAGATGGCTTAAAGTAGACGGAGTTAACTTTAAGCGAAATTTAATTTTTGTGGTTTTTGGATATGTAATTTTTTCTGATATTACGTTCTTTTAAGAAATGTTTGACAAAAAAATATAAAAATATATATATATATATAATATATGCTTAAAAATTGTGAAAATGCACTCTTTCAATACAGAGCATTTAGTGCTTTTCGTTAAATGAAATTATTATTTGTTTTAAGTTCATTTTATTTTTTTATTTCATTTTCTTTTTTTCATTTATATTTATTTTGTTTTTGTTTCATTTTACTTTATTTTGTTTTATTTTGGCTTATTTTAGTTTATTTTATATTATTTTAATGTACTTTAATTTTGTTTTACTTTGTTTTTATTATATTAACTGTTTTTTTTATTTAGTTTAATGTATTATATATTTTTTCATTTCATTTTATATTAATTTATTATGGTAATATGGTTATTTATTTCAATTTATTTAACCATATTTTATTTTATTTTATTTTATTTTATTGTATTATATTTAATTTTATTGTTATATTTTTTTTATTTAATGTTATTATATTTGAGTTATCTATTTTACTTGTTTATTAAATTTTGTTATTTTCTTTGATTTTTATTTTATTTTATACTTTTATGTTATTAAATCATCATCATTTTAATTAAATACATTTTTTTTATATTTTTTTATTTTGCTTTGTTCATTATTTGATTTTATTCTTTTTTGTTGTTGTTTGAATTTAATTTATTTTTTAAAGCTACATATGTTATATTATTTGATTTTTATTATAATTTTTATTTCTATTAACATTTCTAAATTTCTCCATACATTATATATACAATATATATATATTTGTTTTTTAATATTCTTCACTTACCTGTGTTTGCGTGAGGCCCAGACTCGCCGCTAATTCGGCTCGCTCTGGCAGCGCTAAATACTGTGTACGCTGGAATCGTCGATTTAATTGTTGTAATTGCAATGAACTGTATATTGTGCGCGGTTTGCGCATTTTCTTGCCTTTGCCATTAACGCGTAAGCCGGAATCTTCACATTTATCGGATATGGAAAAATCTAAAAAAATAGAGAAAAGTATATATGTATGTATATAGGATAAATTAGAACTATAAATAAATATAAAACAGACCATTTATCTATATACATATTTGTATATGCGAAAAACATTTCAAGAGCATAGTTTTAAAAAATTGTTGCGATTTTTTTAGTTTTTTTTTTTTAAGTATTTCTGGTAGAAAAGGCTTTTCATAAAACTCAGTTGAATTTTTTTATATCTATGTATGTATATGAATTTATTATTCTTACATATTCTCAAGTTAACTTCCCTTCCAATAAGAAATATATGTATGTGTAGATACATATGTACGTATGTATTTTCATTTACATAACCGTTAAGCAAAATATATTATTTACCAATTAGATACTTCATATGCATGTCTGCATCTTTAACTCAGTTAAGAGATGCTGCACTATTTTCATTTTCTTTATTTTATATACTTATGTATGTCTATATGTATGTATATATATTAGTATACTCCTATCAATTACGTTAGTTAGAAATATCGCCAACAGCCGAACGGATTCACTATAATTGCATTCATTAAAATCAGAGTTCAAAGCACTTGAAATGTAAACAAACGCACACTATCAACACACACACACACAAATATTTAAAGTAATTTAATAGTTTGCTTATATATTTGTTGTTTTTGGTATTTTTTTGTAATCCGTAGTGTGCGTGGCATAAGCACTTAAATAAAGCAAAAATTGCAAAATAATTTAATAATTGTCAACTATATACGAGTAAATACATACATACATACATACATATATATAGATGTATGTGTTCATATTTACTTTGTCTGGGTCATTCACGAGCCGCTCATTCGGTTGACTGGCTGAAAACACTCGCTACAATTGCTCTTCACACTTTTCATAGTAATAGTTGTAATTAACCGTTATGGCAATATGTAAAACTATTATTAAACAAATCGACAGGCACTTAATTGTTAGATGATTAAACAAATTGGCTGGCAGACACTAAGGTATTTATAGGTATATATGTATATGCATATATATTTATGTAAGTAAATTGTAATTTGCAAGTAGATTAGTGGAATTTTTTGTTGATGTAAATAAAAACGAATTTATATATATATTTATATATAACTATGTATATCTATTATATATATACTTCTTAGAAAATTATTAGCCTATATGTAATATATATACATATTTACTTATGTCTACAGTAGTTATATGTATATGTGTTCTCTTGCTGGCGCATAACTGCACATTTGGCCTTCACAATGTCACAACACTCTGTGGGAGCTCTGTTAACCAATTACAGCAAGAAATAATAAATTTTGGCAAACAATATTTTAATTACAGCCATTATTGTTGCATACAACAATGTAACTGTATCTTTGGTACTACATAATGTAACACTGATGTTAGTAAATATTTTAAATTTTATTGAATACATTATATTTAATAATTAATAAAAATAAATCAATTTATAAATAAAATAATAAAATTATTAAAAATAAATATTAATTTTTTCAATATTATTCAAAAATATAGTAAATTCTTAAATTTTGATTTATTATATAACATAACACTGCATATACAGGGTGCACCTTTTCATATTTAGATATGTATACACATAAAAATTAATCAAATGGGAACAAAGAATTCCGAAATCAACGCTATATTGCCCAAGTTGACCGAAAAAATAATAGAAAAACATGTTTTTTTTTTCATTTTACTAATTATGCTCCAATAAAGACGATTACTTTACATTAAGGAGTGACTAGTGTGAGTTTAAAAAAAAAAAACTCGAAAAATATTTAAATTTTGAATACATAAATAAAGATAGAAATCATTTTTTTTTAATTATTTAATCTTTACATACCGTCTAGATATGATACAACCTGTAAATATATTTTTCAAAAATTTTTTTATAAATTAATTACATTAACTTATGCTTCTAATTGTTTAATTTTAAACTTTAAAATGCATTCTTTAAAAATATTTCCAATATAATTTATACAGTAAACTGATTACCAGTTATAAAAACACAAAAACCGTATTTGCTGACAAATTAACATAAATCAAATTGAACAGAAGAAAAACGGCAAAAAACCACAATCATAACTTGTTTTAACAAACATAATTCAAACAGAAGTTGGGACACCTGAAAACCCACGAAAATTAGTAGCTGACATTTTTATGTGTGTATTGACAGTAGCCCCATGTGTCGCTCGCCGCGGGTTGTCCGCTTTAAATGTGCAACATGAGCAATAATTCATTACAATAACAACAATGCTTGTGTTATGGAATAATATAATTAAGCAAAATTCATTCATGATACCTAAATGAGGCACGAAAGAATGTATAAAAGTGAGAGAGTATATATTATACTAAATAAGTTATATATGTGTGTGTCAAAAATGTGTGGTTCTGTAGTTTATGCTGTTGTTCGCTATAAATTTAGATTTAATTATCATCAATGCTAAGCAGTGACAAAAGAAATGAAGCAGTTAATGAAAAGAATTTTAAAATTTTGATTAAATGTGCCAATTTAAGTATTATTAATTGCGAGATATAGCTGACATTTATTATGCGTTAGTTTTAATTTGTTGTTTTTTGTTTTTGTTATAGTGGCGGAAATAAGACTATTTTTGTTTTATATTTTAACATCTTTAATTTATACTCTCGCAACGTGTTGCACAGATAATAATGGTTTTGTTCACCTAACGATTGTTTGTTTCAACTAATCAAGATAGATATAGAGTTATATACATACATATACATACAAGTATATAATATAAATGATCAGAGTAACGAGACGAGTTGAAAACCGGGTGACTGTTTGTTCGTCCGACCGTCTGTCGTTGCACGTGATAACTTGAGTAAAGATTGAGACATTTTAATGAAACATATTCCTTAGCACCCAAAGGAGCTCGGTATTGCATATGGGCGTAACGCTATTAAACGAAAACTTATAAAGTGCCATAACTCATTCATCATTAAATTAAGATACGTAACTGTAATTTGATACAGGGAGAATTGTGATTACTCAGCGAATAAATGCGCCACAAGCATTAAATTTCACAACTAAGTTGGTGGGGAACATCTTAATAGGAGCAGGTGTAAACATTTGACAATTGGCGTGGCAAGGAATTACTGAATCGGTTTCAACATTTTGTACGTATGGTATCCTAACCATTCCCATTCTACACTGTGAAAATGGGTGAAAACGGTTTACAACCACGCCTACTTCCCATATAACACAACTTTAAATTCCCTCTGATTCTTTCACTTTCAGTATACAAATCAAACACAAATGATTATATCGGTATAAAACTGTGCACAAGTAGTACTCTTTAGATATTTAATATTATGCTCAAAAATTGTCGAAATCTGACTATAAATTTTCAAGGACCCAGACACAAAATATTTGAACCCCAGCGCATTTAGCTGATTTTTTTTACCGAATGTATCGTCAATCTGTGAGTTCTAGTATTTAAATTTGGGATCAATTTGGGTACCACATTTAAAAAAAATTGCCAAAATTGTATAGAAATATATATTTTCCCTTGAATACTATCCTCATTGGAGCTTAGGGTTTTAACAGCATTTTTGATATTTTTTGAATAAATAATTAATGTGGTAATCTATTGCGCCCTTTTAAGGCTTCATACGAACTATGTATTTGTGAGTATTAATAGCCTAAATACTTTCAAAGGCCAAATTTTTAAATTTTTAAATATTTTTGTAAATAGTTTCGATGTCTAAGCTCTAAACTCTGAATACATATTTGTAGTTACTTGGATTTCCGAAAGTATTAAGTCAAAGATTATCATAACATGCACTTATCTTTGAATCAGCCGTTATGTAAAAGTTCTTTCAGTCAGTTTTATAGTACTCAGGATTTATAAAGCAGATCATAAGTTGGCAATTTTCTCGCTTTATAGAAAATTTAAGATTAATAATAATAATTCAAAAATACTTGAAATATATGTAAATATACCTTGATACCAAATTGTTAAAAAAATACAAAATTTTTTTTAATTGAGTGTACCTGTCTTAGATTCGTCGGGGCTTGGAGAGCACGTATCGAACAAATATCTGGTATAAAAAAAATGATATAATCAAATATTGAAGGAATAGCAATCAACTTTTGTTGTAATTCTCGTATGTACTTTTTTGAGAAAAAAGCAGTATTCAAAAATTGTGAATTTGGAAATGGCGAATCGGAAACGGCTCGTATTTGCTTATTTATCTGCTTTAGACTTTTCAATTTAATGCGTTTTTTTCATAGTAAAAGTAATAAAAACTCTACAGAAATTTACAACAAGCTCAAACTTTGTAAATATGTTCAAAACATGATTAAAAATATATCCTCATCTTTTAGATAGGTGGAAAATATTTATACGTGGTCAAAAGTCAAAAAAAAATTGTTTTGCAATTTTCAACGAAACGGTAAGATGGTTGTTTTCTTGACTCGATTATTTGTAGAAAAAATTTAACATATGTGTAAGTACATACATATATACCTCTATCACAAAAAATGTACGACAACAAAAACTTTTCCTACGCCCACAACCACTCCCACCTAGCAGAGTCAACGCGTCACGTCATAGACTTAAAATAGAGCTCTATAAACATGAAGTTCTTTCTTAACATACAAACAAGTATGTAATTGTATATTTTTTTAATATATGTACATATGTATATATATATATATATTTACAAGTAACTCATATGTATGTGCTTGCTTTACGTTTGCCTGTTTGTATATACTTGAGAGATGTACTTGCACTCTATGTTTAAGTAGCTTTGTCCACGTTCACCGTCAAGGTTAATTGTTTTGCGATTGCCAAATCGTCAATTCGTGTTGGCGGCAGCGACGATGACAATGACAATTGCGAATCTCACGCTGCCGCTGCTGTGGTTGTTGTTGTTGCCATTGTTGCTCTTGCTTTACTTTTTTTCCAATTCATTGAAAACAAAGCTATTTCAGTGTCTGACTGCTGGTGATGTATTTATTT